TGTAATAAACTTATAAAACTACAAGCACAGGAATGGCTGGCTCAGTCAGAAGAGCGTGTTACTCTTGATCTTGGGTTCCTGAGTTGGAGCCCCACGTTGAGTGTAGAGATTACTTAAAAATAAAATCTTTAAAAAAAAAAAAAGATTAAAAAAAAGTATATATGTATTAGAATTTATATATATAATATGTAATGTATAATATGTAATTTATATATATAAATTTATATATAATGTGTGTGTATATATATATTACATATAGTATGTATGTATATAAATTTTACTAATAGTGCAAGATAACACATGCTAAATGAGTGGGTTAGTGAATTAATAATACAGGTTTTCAGAGTAGGGAATGATCCCTTTACAGGAAACCAGGAGCCAAGATTTCTTCATTTCTGTTCAAGGAAAGCGTTCTAAATGTACTGTATTCTCTATTCGGGTCAGGTTTTCACATAAACACATTTTGGATGGTGGGGTTATTTATCAAATCAATCCAGTTCAAGTCATTAAAAATTAAGTATCATGTAAACATTGTTGGTCTAAGAATATTAGAGAGTCAGAGTTGAAATAAATGTTAAACTGTCCTTAAGAAGCTTATATTGCATAAAAATTTTGAAAACCTCAAGATATAAAGAACAAAAAATTCAGTCACTCAAAAGATACCTATTGAGCACTTAGCATGTGGTAGTCATTGTGCTGTAGACACTGTGGGGAACTATAAAAATGAATCAACTTAATCAGAATGGTATCTAATTCTAACTAAATTCACAGAGAATTTTAGTTATAATACTAGGTAGGAAGTGATAAGTACTATTATAGGATACCCGTAGATACTCTGGATACAATAAACCGAATTTAACAAATGAAGAGTAAATAAAAATTCTTCGGTAAGAGAGGAGATATCTATTAATATGATAATCAACAGATCAGACATTTATTTGAGCATCCTGTGGTATAATAAAGAATGCATTTGAACTTGAGATTGGTGTTATCAGCTGCAGGATTTAGGGAAAGTCCCTTTCCATTTCTGACTCCCCTTTTTTTCCCCTCATCTGTAAAATGGGATTAGATCGCTGCCCTTTCACCTTGCTTTTTCATGAAGAAGTAGCCTGGTTGAATGAGAAGAACATGGGCTTTGAAGTCAGTCTTGAATTGGAACTCTGGCTTCAGGATTGGATGGCTGTGTGCTGCTGAGATGTTCCTTAAGATCTTGGAGCCTCAGGGTCTTATTAACTAAATGGGGATAATAGCTACTGGCAGGAATTATTGAGAAGATTAAATGAAAAAAGTTGTGTGAAGTGATTGGTCCACTACTTGGCACACTGTAGGTGTGAGTCTTATAAAAATATAAAGTCTTGGGCACTGTGGGGAATGCGGAAAGTGTAGATGTAGTCTCTGATCAAAAGGAACTTACAGATTAGTTGAAAAAACAAAACTGATATGTATGAAGTAGTAGTAAGCAGTGCCAGACAGTAAGTAATTAAATGTCTGATTACTTGGCACATATAGTAAGTACCATATGAATATTCCAGGAAGTTATTAAGAGCTAAGTTTATCATAAGTTCTTAGGAAACCAGAATCCTACTTCCTGTTGTGCACTAATTGGCTGCTTGATTTTGAGCGAGCCATTTCATCTTCCTGGGCCTTTATTTTCCCATTATTAAATTGAAGGGGTTAACCACCAAATGGGTCAATATTCAAATTTTATGAATCTAGTTAGGAAAGAAGCTTTGTAGAAGGTAGGATTTGAATAGGAGATGGATGAGGTGAACCTTGTAAGTGAGGCCCAGCTGTGGACATGAGTATGATGTGTTTATTAGAAAATGAAGACACAAGAAATCAAACATTAGTTTACAAGATATGTTCTAACTGAAAACTTGGAAAAAGTATAACTATTTCTTAAGCTATGTGGTAGGTATTTGGTTTATTATTCTTTTATGTACTCTTTTGTATGCATGTTTCATTTGAAAGAAAATAAAGTGCATTGTTCTGGAAACCATGAGGAAGCAGCCGGTGACCAGCCTGGCAAAGCCAACACTGGGCCCCAGTCCTAAGTAAGCCACTACCAGGCTTTAGGAGATGCTAAGCTCATCAGACCCCTTCCCGTCCCTGTAGACGAGGCAGGCTGCAGCAAGCAGAAGCAGTTGGGTTCTTTTATATCAAAACAGCAAAACACTGAAAAGGAAGTTGAGAGAACCCCACTCTTTAATAGCCAAGCCACACACAAGCCTTCCTAACACCCTGTAATCATTGCTAATTACATCAATGATTTTTTTTTTTCTCTGTGTGAGGCATTTGTCATTCTTCTCTAAAACTTTATTGTTCTTTTGATCATGGGTTCACTCTTCCCCAGCCCCAGACTCTTGTGGTAGGTGTGTGTTTTATTTGAAAATAAAATATTTTTTTTAAGTAAGGTTTTCTAATGTATACCCCTCTGCCTATTTCCAAAAAGAAAAGAAAAAGAAAGTAAATGAAAAATATCTGTGTATGTTGTAATTATTTCTGATTAGATATGGCTGTGCTGGTGCTGGAAGTAATCACCAAACTTGATCATCTTCCAATTGGTAGAGTTCAGATCAGTGGACTGGCCCAGCTTTCTCCAACCCATCACATCAATGGATTTTTTACCATTGTTTCACCAACATCCAAGAAACTTGGAGAACTCCAGGTAAAAATATTTTAATTCTTTTCTGCGTATAATAAAATGTTTTCAGCACAAGTAGTTGAGTCTGTTTGTAGAATGGATAGGTACATGACTCCCATATATCATGCTAATTCCCACTTCGTGCCTTTGTTCATGTTTTTACGCAAAGACTATAATGTGTCTTTTTTTTTTTTAAAGATTTTATTTATTTATTTGAGAGAGAGAGAATGAGAGAGAGCACATGAAAGGGGGGAGGGTCAGAGGGAGAAGCAGACTCCCTGCCGAGCAGGGAGCCCGATGCGGGACTCGATCCAGGGACTCCAGGATCATGACCTGAGCCGAAGGCAGTTGCTTAACCAACTGAGCCACCCAGGTGCCCCGACTATAATGTGTCTTACTTATTCAAATCCTCTTAGTGCTTTACTGCTCATCTCAAGTGCCAAAAGTCTTTCACAGCTCCTATTGCATTCATCTTCTCTGTACTCTTTATTAAATTTATAACAATGATTATATAATCATTGTTCAGTTATAATCCTGCACAATCTCTAAAATTATGTATTAGTAGTCTCCCTTTAATTTCCCTTCTTTTTAGTTTCTAGATTCCCAGGGAAGCAGGACAGTGTTTTCTACTTTCTGTGTTTTTCCCACAGCTCCTAACATAGTGCCAAGCAGTAAGTGTTTGTTTGACTCATGTAAACGGTATCTTTGGTTGTTCATTCATTGATTTCAGCCTTCCTTTTTTTTTGATACATTATTATGTGCCACTAAGGATACAGAGATAAGAGATGATCTTTTCATGTAGTTTTCCAAAGTCAATGTAGGAGGAAATAGAAGAATAACAGGTAGAATGCAGCATGATAGGTGTTATGCCACGTCTATGTACAGGATGGTGGGGAAGAACATTGAAGGGTTCTTTCTGAGGGACACTCTTTGAGAGTGCTTCCTAGAAAGTTCTGAATATTCAAATCGCTTAGAAATTTCATGAGTTTTATACTTTGTCAAATATATTCTAAAATACAGAAATTTAAACAAGTACATAAGAAAATAGTTTTAAAAATATGAGAAAATATATACAGCATTACCAGATGTAATAAACTTATAAAACTACAAGCACAGGAATGGCTGGCTCAGTCAGAAGAGCGTGTTACTCTTGATCTTGGGTTCCTGAGTTGGAGCCCCACCATTGGGTATAGAGATTACTTAAAAAGGAAAAAAACTATGAGCACATAATCGCATTGGTGGAACAGAATAGAGTCCAGAAATAATTCTGAGTGAAAGAACGTAACATTTTCTTTATTGTAATTATCATATTTATATATACATTAAATTTAAAAAGTGATACTTTATGCCGGTAACTTCATGGTGAAGTTGAGTCTGGCTTACTCCTGTTTTTCTGATAATGATATAAATTTGCATTAGATCTGCAAAACAGTTTGGCATTCTGTTTCAAGAGCTATAAAATTACCAGGCTTTAGGAGATGCTAAGCTCATCAGACCCCTTCCCGTCCCTGTAGACGAGGCAGTTCAGTTATAATCCTGCACAATCTCTAAAATTATGTATTAGTAGTCTCCCTTTTACCTCAGTAATTCTATATACCATTTACCTCAGTAATTCTACTCTTAGGAACTTATCTTAAGGAAATACCGTAAAAAGAGAGGGAAGCTGTATGCCTAGGTCTAGTTATGGAAATACACTTTTATTTATTTATTTATTTGAAAGATTTTATTTATTCATTTGAGACACAGAGATAGAGAGAGAGAGAGAGCATGAGCAGGGAGAGAGGGAGAGGGAGAAGCAAGCTCCCCACTGAACCAGGACCCCGATGTGGGGCTCGATCCCAGGATGCTGGGATCACGACCTGAGCCGAAGGCAGATGCTTAACCATCTAAGGCACCCAGGCGCCCCTGGAAATACACTTTTAATATTGAAAAATGAAAATAATTATTCAACAATATTAAAATTATAGTCTATTAGTAGAATATTTTGTTTCCATAAAAACAAAATTACATAGTTATGATTGTGTAGCTGCATGGAAAAATAGATTTTGGATTGATGACAAAAGAATTAAAATTAAATACATAATCAATGATTGGGAAAAAATAAGGAAAATTGAAAACAGTTGGAGTATAGGATTCTAGGTGGTTTTTTCCCTATTTTTAAAATTAACATATAATTTATATGTCATAAAATTCACCCTTTTAAGGTATACAGTTCACTGGTTCTTAATATGTTTACAGGATTTTATAACCATCACTACTATTCCAGAGCATTTTATCACCCCAAAAAGGAATACTGTGCCTATTAGCAGTCATTCCCCCTTTCACCCTTCCCCATTCCCTGGCAACCACGAATTTAACTTCAGTCTCTATATATTTGCATATTCTGGATAGTTCATATAAATGAAGTAATATATTATGTAGCCTTTTGTAAGTGACCTCTTTCATATAGCATAATGTTTTCAAGATTCATCTTTGTTATGGCATGTTTCAGTACTTCATTCCTTAGTATGGCTGGATAATATGCCCCTATATGGATAGACCACATGTTGATCCATTCTTCAGTTGATAGACATTTGGATTATTTCCACTTGACTACTATGAATAATGGCAGCTTCTGTGAACATTCATGTACAGATTTTTATGTGAACATATTTTCATTTCTCTTGTTACATACCTAGGAATAGAATTACAGTCAATAGGGTAAGTATGTTTAACTTTGAGGAATTGCCAGACTGTTTTCTAAAGTGGCTGTATCATTTTTTTTCCATATTTAAATACCGGTTGATAAAATAATACTTGTGTGTTGGAAAATTGTATAGAGCATTGGAGGCAGAAGTCAGATTTTAAAAGATTATGGAATAAGGAAATAAGTAGTAATTAGAGATTTCTATTTCCCAAGTAAGTGTCAGTAAAGGGAGGGAGAAGTGGTATGATCTAATGGAAATAGCACTAGAGTTCGGACATGGACAAACAGTAATGGACAGTGGAGAAACCAGAACAGAAATGGTTACAAAACAATTCTGATGTTCACTTGTCCTCTCTGAGCTTTTGTATCCTATTTTGTAAAAAAACATACTAAAACATTTACCTCACAGTGTTGTTGCCGGGATTAAATGAGATGAAAAAATATGGAAACACTTAACATCTTAATATCGTGTTTAGGCATGTGATGGCGACAAGCCAAATTTACTTGAATTTGAGAGGACATGACTGAATTCAGAAGTTTTTTGGTACTGTTTTAGAGCAGGGGTTGATACATTTTGCCTGGTGCTCCGTATCTGGTGTTCTAACTAAACATGGTTTTTCCATTTTTAAAAGGTCATTTATTTTTAAGGTTTTATTTATTTGAGAGAGAGGGAGTGCGTGCGGGCACGAGCAGGGGGAGGGGCAGAGGGAGAGAAAAAAGCAGACTCCTCGCTGAGCAGGGAGCCCTACTTAGGGCTCAATCCCAGGACCCTAAGATCATGACCTGAGCCAAAGGCAGATGCCTAACCGACTGAGCCACCCAGGTGCCCCTTAAAAGGTCATTTAAAGAAGAAGAAAAATATGCCATAAATAAAGCCTAAAATAATTATTCTCTGCCCCTTTACAGAGTAAGTTTGCTGACCCCTTTTTAGAATATAAGAGACCTGATTTATTTGTAGACCAAAAAGAAGCAAGTGAAGAAAGAAATTGAAAATAAGAGGATAATTGAGCCAGTAAGATCATGAAGAAAATTAAATAGGAATGAGTTTCTACCATGAACACAATTGCTAGGGTTACATACATTGGGATGGAGGAATTTTAACCAAGGCAAAGAGGAGGAACATTTTGAGACAGACAAAATTGAAGGGGTTCATTTGATCATTTTCTTATCAACATTTATTATATGTCAATCTACCATTTGTTAGGCACTATACATTTTATTTCACTTAACTTTTTTTTTGTTTTTCTTAATTAGAGATATGCAAAACAATATCTTCTATATATAAGATATATAAATAACCATACAGTGAACACCCATTATCTCCTTACCCAGGCAAAGAGGTATCAAAAAAATAAGTAAAAGAAGCCAATTTTAGAGATTCATCCATACTATTTTGTGTATCAGTAGTTCCCTTTTGCAGAGGTGTGTTCCGCTGTGTGGATATTCCACAATTTTTTATCTATATGCCAGTTGGTGGACATTTGGTTGTTTGGGGTTTTTTTGGTTTTTGTTTGTTTTGTTTTTTACCATTTTTTTGCTTCTTATGAATAAAGAACTCTCTGTAGACATGTGTTTTTATTTTCTTGGGAAAATACCCAAGAATGGAATTGCTGAGTCATGTTTAACTTTTTTAAGAAACAACCAAACCATTTTCATATTGGTTATATAACTTTACATTCCCATCAGTAGCATATAAACATTTTCCACATATTTTCCAGCATTTGGTTTGGGTAGTCTTTTTAATTTTTGTTATTCTAGTGAGAATGTACTGATATCTCACTGAGGTTTTAGTTTTCGTTTCTTGGTGATCAATATGTTGAGTATTTTTTCATAGGCTTTTGAACCATTCTTTTATTTTCTTCAGGGATTCACTCAACAGGCTATAACTCCCAAGGCAAATCTGACTCACCACCTATATTTGTAGATAGTTTTATTAGAACATAGCGATACTCATTCATTTGTGTGTGGTTTATGGCAGCTTTCATGCTGCAACAGCAAAGTTAAGTACAGTAGTCTCTCCTTATCCTCCGTTTCTCTTTTGGTAGTTTCAGTGCAGTCAGGAAGCAGCTGATCCTCCTTCTGTTATCCTCAGAAGATCAATAGTAGCCTATTGCTACGTCACAGTGCTTACTTATGTCATTCACTGCACTTAATCTCATCACATAGGCATTTTATCATCTTATCACTAGAAGAAGGGTGAGTACAATGTAAGATATCTTGAAAAATCACATTCACATAATTTATTATTATTGTTGTTAATCTCTTACTGTGCCTGATTTATAAATTGAATTTTGCCATAGTTATGTACGTATAGGAAAAAAACATAGTGTATATATAG